AACAAACACAAATCAAATATGGACTGTTCGCACCACCTGCAAAACAGAGGTTAATCACTAGGGTTGCAGTTTCACAAACTGCAAATCGCAGAAAGCGATTTCTCCATCTGCAAATTTCCAGCGCCGCCTTCTTCTTCCTTCTTTTTTAATCAAGAAAATAAGAAAAACAGAAATTCTATTTCTATTAATTTATTACATTCTTGATCAAATCCTATACATTCAGTCTAGAAAATAAAAAAATTTATTTACAGACCGAATTAAATAAAATAAAGAAAAAGGGTGCGTAGACCATCTGTGCCAAATCTGCATTGCGATCTCCAGGTTCGAACAGTCAATTAAATCAAAATAAATAAAGAACAGTTCTAAATAAATTTTGGATTTAACAAAAATTAATTTCAGATCAATCGCCCGTAACAAGAAACGATTTCTTAAAAAAAAAAGAAAAACAATCTGCGCAAATCTTGGCAGAACATCTTTTGTCCATCTGTGCAGGTTCAGATCTGATTTTCTTTTGGTTCAAGATTTGAACCTGTGGCTCTGATACCACTTAAAGAATGGTAGGATCCATCTAATGGACGCCAAAAAGATTGCGGAATGGGTGGGCGAATTTCAAAAATTTTCCTACCTTCTTCTAACTGGGAATCGTATTCCCTAAATTAGAATACAATATTCAAGGATCCTACTCGAACCATAATCGAACCAGATCTGAACCAAAAACAAAAGGGAGGATTATACCTGATCCGGAGAAGCAGTATCTCCCAAAGTTGGTGTTCACGCCCAAAGAGGACACCAAGATCCGCTCCTGCTGAAGATGACATAGCTGTATGTGGAACGGAACCAGCAGAGTGCGCCCTACACACTGGATCCTTCTCAAGAATCCTCTGGAAACTCTGAGCACCAAATCTTTTTCAGTCTTTTCTGCAAGACTGATGCCAAGACTTGATTTCTTGATTTCTTTCTTCTGCAAAGATCAAGTCTTGCCAGAAGGAATGGCGGCGGCTGGAGGAGAACTCCTGGGACGAAGAGAAGCAATTCAGCCATCTTCGTCCCAAATGGATTTACAAGTATCAGCCTTGGTATCATAGTGATCCTATGGCGGTGGCACACCAGTATCAGCCTTGGCAGGATAAATCTCCCCAGACTTATCCAATGGCTGTGAACATTTAAAACTAACATGAGTCTCTATAAGTGTCTAGTTTTAGGGTCTTACACAGAATTATACCAAACAACATGAATCAAACATGCACTTTATTTATTTAC